GGGTCTGCACCTGGGCCCTCGGCCCACCCCCCACATCATCCCCCAGGCTTCCGGTCCCTTTCACTTCAGGTGGCTCCCATTACCTCTGGGGGGAAAGCAGGCTTCCACGACCTCCCTGCCCTGGGACTGTCCCCAGTCTCCACCCCTACCCCGCCCCCCAGCAGCCCGTCTTTTAGTGAGATGGCAAAGTTCATCAAACTCTAATGTGCTTCCAGTCGCCTGCGATCTTGTAAAAATGCCTATTCTGATTCAGGAACTCTGGGTGGGGCTGAGATTCCATGCTGCTAGGAAGCTCCTGGGTGAGGATGACCACACTGGTCCAGGGACCACCCTCGGAGTAGCCAACAGGCTTTTGGTTGGAGTTGGCCTGGCTTGGGCTCTTCCCCTGCATTGCCACTTTCCAGCCACGGATACTGAGCCTCATCTAGCCTAAGATATTTTCTTATCTGTCAGATGACTGATCATCACTGGCTGGCAGGATGGTTTGCCCGCTCAACACGTTTCCTGGGTGCTGTGTATGTGACACGCACTGTTGTAGCCTCTGGGGGTTCACGATGAACCTTTCAGGGCTGCGAAGAGAGGAGGGGTGGCAGGGGATCAACCAACAAGCAAACACAGCACCTTAGTAAAGCCATAAGTGCCCCCCAAGAATACGAAACAAGGTAATGCGAGAGCCTGAGTGAGCAGGGAGGCCTGTAAATGGGCTGTTACCATACAGTGGCGCTGTGATGGGGCATGCAGAGGACTGGGACTGCCCTAAGCCCACCATCGTATTTGGGCTGGAGGCGGCGTTAGGGAAGGAGGAAGTGATGTCCAAGGTGGACTTGGGAGATGAGCAAGAGGCGGACTGGGAACAGAGTGGGGCAAAGAGCAAGCAGGCTCCGAGACTGTATTAGGAGAGGGGTGGAGCTGGAGAGGTCAGTGCGGGTCAGATCACCAAGGCCTGGACTTGAAGAAAATGGACTTTCTCCTGCAGCAGTCAGGAGCCTAGGAGAGGGGTTACGTGAGGAAGTGGCCTCATCCTATTTGTCTGTGGGGAACGGATTGTAGTGGGTCAAGATGAACTGGGAGGCCTGTGAGGATGAGGACACCCCCCCCCCTCCAGGGCTGGAGAAGCCCCGCACTCAAGTGAGGAATGAACGAAACTGTCGGGAGTTCCTGGCGAGCCTATTCCTGGTGTGGGGACTAGGAGCGAAAGCTGTGTCCAGGCAGCTGGTTCAGCTAGGGCAGCGTGCACAGGGAGGGCTTGGGCTGCAGGGGGCGCAGAGAAGGGGTCATCGGTCTGGGCGAGGCCTCGAGGGCATGCGGACGCGAGACGGGGTGGGAAAGAGAAGCCTTACGTCGCAGCTTCAGCGCCTTTTGCATGTTCCTTCGGTGGTGTAATGAGCAACCTAGCCAGGTGTGGAGACTTCGTCTGCCCGCCCAGTTTCTGCAACGGCGCCCAAGGAACCCCGCCAGCGACCAGAGAGGACACTGCCCAGCGCCCGGAGTAGCGGCCTGGGCCGAAGCCTCGCCCCAGTGTAATCACCTGCCGGCCGGGCTTGGCCCATCCCCGCCATCACAGCCCCGCGGAGCCATTACACCACCCGGGGCATGCAAATGGCGCGCCCCGGCGGCCGCTGCGGGAACCGGGCCAGAGGGAGACGCGCCTCCCTCCCCTCTCTTGTCTTCCCCCGCCTTAGCTGACGGCCGCCAGCTCGTGCTGCTACCCCCGCGAGGGCTGGAGGTACTCCAGCGCGCACAACGCCATCCTCGGGCCCTTCGGCGAGCTCATGACCGAAGCCGACATCCTCCGCATCGAGCAGCAAATCGAGAACCTGCAGGTGTTGCACAAGGCGCAGAAGCTGGAGGCGCGCCTGGAGCAGCTGGAGCTGGAGCTGGAGCAGCTGCTGCCGATCTCGGCCGCCCTCTCGGCGCCGCGCTTCACCGTCGATCCGCGCCGCATGCACGGCCGCGCCGCCAGCCTGCCTGCCTGGTGCAGCAAGATCTCGACGCTGCTCAAGAGCATGGCCACGCTGCTGGCCGCGCTGGGCGGCCGGCCCGCGCACCTGGCCGAGCTGCTGGCCGCCGACACGGGCCAGCCGCTGGCACCGCTGCCCGACGCGCCCTGGCGGCCGGGCCCGCTCTGCCTGGGCCGCTCGCACTCGCTCAGCTGGTGCCGCGAGGCCGTGGCGCGCGAGATCCTCGAGTGCGGCGTCTCGGTGCGGCACCTCCGCGCCGTCTACGAGCTGCGCGCCCAGGGCTCGGCGCCCGCGCGCGACTCGCGCCGCAAGCTCTCGCTTCCCGCCGGCGCCTCCGGCCGAGAGCCCATCCTCGAGGAGGACTACGTGGCGGCCGGCGCCGGGGAGCCCAGCGCCCCCGCCGCCAACGGCTTGCGGGCCGCGGGGGACTCCCTGGGCGCCTTGCGCCCGCCCGACGCGCCCGGCCACCAGGCGGCGCTGCCCGAGCCCGAGCAGCTGGCGCGCCGGCCGCCGCTCTCCACCGAGCTGCGCGGCGTCCAGGACTACATCGATATGCGCAAGGAGCGCATCGTCTACCTCTTCCTGGACCACTGGCGCAAGTGGACCTTCCGCGGCCCCGGGCGCCGCGCCCAGGCGCGCCTCCGCAGACTGCTGCCGCGAGTGGTGGCCGCCGGCGCGGGCCCGGCCCCTGAGGCCGCCGACGGCCCCGACGGGCGGCTGCTGCGCCTGCTGAAGCAGCGGCGGGTGGTGGGCAAGCTGCTGGGCCACTGGCGGAGCCTGCTGCGGCAGGTGCCGGCACGCCCGCCGCGCGGCCCGGGCCTAGCGCACGGCCTGTACTGGCCCGAGCACTTCCTGCCGCCCCTCGACGGCGGCGCGCCCCCGCGCTACGACAGCCTCACGCTCGACCTCTTCATGCTCGGCTACTTCCAGCTGCTCGAGATGGGCCTGAGCCGTGAGGAGCGCAAGTTCCGCCACCTGCTGTGCTACGAGATGTTCGACCGGCTGGGCAGCCACCCGTGGGAGCTCATCCGCCTCTTCCACCGCGTGGTGCTCGAGCAGGTGGAGGCTGGCCGGCGCAGCTGGAGCGACGGCTTCGAGGACCTCAGGCGCCAGTTCTTTGGAGATAGCCCGGAGGCCGAGCCAGCCCGCGCAGATGAGGCCGTGAAGGAGCAAGGGGAGGAGAAAAGAGAAGGGGAGGAGGAGAGGGAGCCGGCGGAAAAGGTCGCTGCTTCGGCTCAGATGGTGGACTGGCCAGAGGGGCAGCCCGAGGCCCCAGCTCCTGCGCCGCAGCCCCCGACCCCACCTCCGCCGGCCGCACCTCCCCCCACATGGGACCCTCCTAGTTCCGAAGCCCCTGCCGAAGATCCCCTGGAGTTGGTGTCTGAGATGGGCGAGTTCAGCAACGAGGACATCTGCCGCTACATTGACCGCAGCTTCTCCTTCTGGAAGGAGAAGGAGGCAGAGCTCTTTGACATCTGAGCAGAATTCGGAATTTCCCCTCAAGCATCTTAACACGGGCCTGAATGCCTGTCTGATGCCCTCTGGAGGCCAGAAGCCGGCAGGAAGAACCCAGAAGCCAGCAGGGTGGCCTTGGAGAACCCAGAGTGCCCAGGAGGACCGGGCTGCCGCAGCCTTTGAAACCCCACCATGGCCAGATGCGGGGCGGTAGCCAGAATGGGCAGGGCAGGGCAGGGCACAGGGCAAACCAGGTGTTCCCCTCTGGCCCTACAATCTTGCCTGGCTCTGTGTCGGAGCCGGGTGGAAGAAGCAGCCCCTCGAGTGAGGGACCGTGGCCCCCCTTGGGGCAGTGTGGCGCTCCTCTCTTTGGTTTTTCACTGGAATTCACAGCTACTTCTTTGAGGTCAAGGGAGCCACGTGTGTCGTGTTCCGTGTGATGTGTTCTCCTCTGTAAACCTCCAAGTAATAAAGCTCTTTGCTGTAAGCCGCCCGTGTTGGATGCGTGCCCCCCTCCTGCCAAGTCAGTGCAACCACACAGTTGCAGACGTGGTGTCTACTCTACTCGGGACTAGGACACACAGGGCCCAGAAGGTTCTTCACGCTGGAGGCCAGCTTGAGCCTCTCTGAGCTGGCTGGATCTGTGGGGGCCCACGTAAGGGTCTGCCCAGAGTCTGGGTCAGGGGCCTGGGGCCATCTGTCAGCTGTCCCGGTGGGGAAGCTCGTTCTCTGCTGCTCCCCTCCACCTTAGCTCTGATCTCTCTGATGCCACCTGTAGGACACAAGGGGCCTGAGTTACAAGGGGCCAGAGCCTGGGAGGCTCCCTTTAAGGGGACTGTGGTCAGGCACCTTCATCTAAGTGCCCTGTAGAAGGACATCTGTATCCCATTGTCCCTGACTGGTGCGGGTCCCCTGGGGCTGGGGGTGCACCCCTTCTGTCCCCCTACCTCCTCGCCCATGCTGGTCCTAAAGCTCTGTGCTTGTGTTTCAGGAGGAAGAGGAGGAGGCCCGGCTGGCCAGCATGCCCGCCTGGAGGCGAGACCTCCTGCGGAAGAAGCTAGAAGAGGAGAGGTGAGCTGGGGAACCAGAAGCTTCAGGGTCTGGTGGGATGTCTTGATCATGTCCCTGACGTGGTGGCACCAGATAATGCTATCTCTTTTTCCTTCTAGGGAACAGAAGCGGTGAGTGTGGGACTGGGCCCGATCTGCCACCCCTCCCCAACCTAGGCACCGTGCTTTTGCCCCTTCGTCCAGCCCCATTTGAGCACATCCCCTTGTCACTCAGGTCTGCAGCACAACCTCTCTGCTCCCAATGATGCCACCAGCCTCCTCTCCCCCAGTAACTGAGACCCTGCCTCAGAGTCTACATCTTATGCCCTAACAGCCTTGTTCCCAATTACCCAGGCCCTGTCTCCCATTAACCTGGCCTTCAGTTAACCCAACCTCAGTGTCAATAACCTTGATCTCTGTCCCTCAAAACAGAGTTTCTGCCCCAGTAATCTAGCCCAGTGCTGATAGAAGTATAATGCGAGCCACTATGTAATGTTAAATTCTCTAGTAGCCACTTTGAAAAAATAAAAAGAGGTGAACTTAACATACATATTTTATTTAACCCAATATATCAAAATATTATTTCAATACATAATCAGTATAAAAGTTATTAATGAGATCTTTTTCACTTCTTTTTAAAAAACAGTCTTTGAGATGCCATGTGCATTTTACCCCTACAGTGCTTCTCACTCTGACATTTCAGATGCTCAGTGGCCGCACGTACTTGGTGGCCACCTTGTCAGCAGTGCAGATCTAGCCCCTTATTATAATAACTGTTCCTAATTACCCACCACTGCCTCTGAGTAGTGTGGTCCCTCTGCTCTCCGCAGCCCGACCCCAGTACCGCCGAACTCACCCCCTCCTCAACCTCTGCCACACCCCTGACCCAGCACCACTGTTTCCAGTAATTCCCCAGCCAGCAATAATTCATCCACAGCCTCTCACTCACCCAGCTCCTGTGTGTGCCCCAGTGACTCCAGTCTGCCCTCAACCAAGCCCCTCTGGCCCCCCACCAGCCCTGCTCTTGTGCCTCCTGACCCAACCCCAGTCCCCTAGCCCTTCTGCCCCTGGAATTCAGTGCCCTGGCCACCAATAATTAGCCCCTCTGTCCTCAGCAACCCAGCCCCTGCCCTCCGTAACGCATTCCTTGCCACCCGTGAGCCCCTCCCGGTGCCTGGCCCACCCTCACACTCGCCCGCCGTCCTGCCCCCACACCATGCCCAGGAAAGAAGAGGAGCGACAGAAGCAGGAGGAGATGCAGCGAGAGAAAGAGCAGTCGGAGAAGCTGCGGACGCTGGGCTACGACGAGACCAAGCTGGCGCCCTGGCAGCGACAGATCATCCTGAAGAAGGGGGACATCGCTAAGTACTAATGCCGCCCTCCTGCCCGCAGCCTCGTGAGCTCGAGGGGCCCCAGCCTGCGCCCCGGCCTGCGCGGCCCGGGGCGGAAGGGCTGGGAGCCGCCCTGCCTCCCCCTCCCGCGCTGGAACCCCTCCCTGACCCCGCTCCGGCCCCCGCAGCCCCAGCCCGGGGCGACGCTGGAGCGCGCCCGCCGCCGCAGTCGCCCAGAAAAAGTGCCCAAGCAAGCTGTTGACGCAGAAAGTTGCTTATTTGCATGCCCATTTGCATATATTTGCATGCCCGTTGAAGGTCGCCAGAGCTCTCCCCGGCCCCGTGGGTGGTGGCTTTTGTTTCCCTGCGGGGCGCGCGCGACCGGCTGCAGCCCCCTCCCCCGCACCCCGGAACCCGCGTGGCCGGCGCATCCTGGGCGGAGGCAGGCCCCACGCTCGGGGAAGGGGTTTTCCTCCCGTCCTGACCCAGATCTGTGCCCTGCCCGCCCGGGCCGCATTTCCTATCCCCGCCGAGGGCTTCCTCTCAGTCGACTGTTTACCGAGAAGCGATGAAGACAGCAACCTGCCCGTCGGGACGGAGCTGCCGCTCCGGGGGCCCATCGTCTGCCCTCCCCCGTCCCGTGAAGTCTGCCCACCCAGGCCCCACGCTCCCCGGACCCTTCCGCGGCGCCGGTGGAGAGAGCGGGGGGCGGGGGGCGGGGGCCGGGCACTTGTGTCTCCGCCTGCTTCCTCCCCGCCCCCCCATCCGCACCCCCATTAAAGCTCTCAGCCGCCGGGGCTGACGTTCACGCTCTAGCGCCGTCGCCGCGACTTCCTCTCCCTTCCGGGGTAACTGGGGCACGGCCGGGCGGGAGAGGCAGCCTGGGAGCCAAGGGCCACAGCGGCCTCCACCGTGGGTCCCCGGCCCTGGGGCGACAAGACTTCCGGCCCCCTTTCGACGGCCCCGGGAAACCAAGCCCGGGCCACTTAACACCCCAGCCTCGCGGCAACACCAAGCAGTAGCTCTTCTTCACAGATTTAATACCGAGGCCTCACGGAGCTCAGGCCCAGAACCGAGCCGTCTCCCGCCCCCTCCCGACATCCGTCCGCGCTCCTTTGCCCCACCCAGTAGCCCGGGGCGCGCCGCGGCTACGCAGGGCCGTGGCAGGAGCTGCATAAGTGACATAAGATGTCTACACGCATAAGTAACCGTACTTAGGGCTTCTGCAGGGGCCGCCGGAGCCCGGGGGCGGCGGCGGGAGCCCTGCGTCACGGGCCGCGCTGCAGGCGGCTGCGCAGGTCCTCGGCGCAGCCGTCCAGCCCCATGCGCTCCAGCGCCGCGTAGACGGCGCCCAGGCCCGCGGGCTGCTGCTGACGCCAGCGCTTGAGCATCTCGTACTGCTGGTCGCGGAAGCGGCCCACCTCCACCTCCACGGCCTCGATCTCCGCCTCGCGCAGCCCCAGGGTGCGCACGAATTCCTTCCAGCGCCGCGCCGGCACCGCGTCCATCACGTCGTAGAGCTGCGGGCCGGGCTGGAGCGTGGCGGCCGCCGAGCCTGCAGGGGGCGCTGGCGAAAGCGGCGGCGGCGGGCCTGAGGGCGGGCCGGAGAGAGCCCGTGGGGAGCGCGAACTGCCGCCTAGGGGCGCGGACGCGGGTGGGGCAGGGCAGGGCGCAGGCGGGAACCCCGGGCAGGCCCGGCCAGGGAGGGGTCCGCCCGATCAGCTCGGGATGGGCGTGGGCAGGTGGTGCCTCAGGAAACTAGTGCTCATCTGGGCCTCAGGAGAATGGGGTCCGGGCCTCGGGCCAGTGAGGTCTCTTACCGAGAGCTCTGCTGTGCCGCCGGTCCCAGGGCCATGTCACCTCCGGGCAGGGCACCTCCCGGGTCTGGGGGGAGCCAGGGGTCCAGCCGCTGCCTACCGACTGGACGGTGTGGACCTTCTCACTATTGCCGAGTGGCGCTAGAAGGGTGTGGGTGCTGCCCTTGGGTGAGAGGTGGGTGGCCTGGAAGCCAAGAGAAGCCCCAGGTCAGCCCAACTGGCCTAGTAAGGCCCCTCGTCTGGGGTCTCTGGCCCGGAGCGGCCATTCCCGGGCGCAGTCAGCAAACATTCTCCAAGGCTGCCCACGGCAGTCGGCCATAACCTGCTGTGGCCCAGAAGAGCTATTTCTTCTGCCTGGAATACCCTGCCCTCGCTGCCCTGCTCTTGTTCCCCCAACCCTGTCGGAGGCCTGGCCATGGCGGCACTCATCCCACGGAGCCTGTCTGGGCCCCAGCAGATTGAGAGCCACTTAGGGACAGGTGCTGTGCTTCTCTCAGTCACTCAGGACTCAGTGAACTCACGCTGTTCATCAGGTCTACTCTGTGCCAGCCTCGTGCCACACACTGGGGATCACGAGTTCTCATAGGGCCCAGCCTCTCAGCTCCAGAACGCTGAGGCCTGGGCGCTTGCTCACCCTCTTCCCGGAATATTACTTATACGCTCACCGGTCGGGGAGTCAGGGCCTCCGTCCCAGCTTCATCTGCCGAGAGACAAAGAGCATCACATCAGCAACCAGGCAAGAGCCCTAGACCTGGGCGCTGGTCCACCTCCTCTTGTGTTCCCCTATACCACCCCAGCCCCCAGCACTTTGCATCGGGGGTGAGTGGGCTTACCCCTGAAACGTGTGCACATGTGCCTGTACTTACTAGCACCCTTGGGCTTGCAAGTCTGCCAGCGATGGTAAGTGTAGGTCAGCACAGCACCAAGCAGGAGTGGGACCACCAGGCCAGCCAGGAGCACCTGGACCCAGAACACTGAGAGAACAGCTGGTGAGGGGTGGGTCGTAGCCCTCCCCCCCATCTCCCTTTGGCCCGTCCCAGCAATCCTGCTCAAATTCTCAGCACACCACTTACTCTGCCTCCAGCCACAGATAGTCACACAGGGCTCAGGACAGCTCCCAAGGGTGCTCCTGCAAGGAGAGGGAGTGGGGTGGGAGGTGAGGGAGAACACACCAGGAGGGGCTACCCATCTTCTCCATCCTGGAGGCCCTTCCCTCCCCAGGCCTCTTCCCTGGGAGCCACACTACCCAGGAATGTTCCCAAAGTACTGCTGAAATTTCAATTGTGTCCCCAGGAACAATAGCGACAACCACTATTTATGGTGTTTCTTGTAGACTAGATTGAGGGTCACTAGAATGTCAGCTCCATGAGGACAGGGATTTGCCTACTTTGTTCCCTGTTGTATCCCCAGCATCTAGAACATCTCTGGAAAATGGGAGATGCTTCATACACACTTGGCTGAGCAGACGAATGGATAAAGTCCTTTACCCCTTACTCTTAGCCCTGGGGAGAACCAACTAACATCGCCATGTTCACACGGGGAAGCCACAGATCAGAGAGGCGAGGTAACTGCCCAAGATCTCCTGGAGAACAAGTGGCAGATCTTGAGTCTCAGCCCAAGGTTTGAACGTGACTCTCTATAAAATGACAAATCCTATGCTTCTTTAATGTATAGCTGGAAAGATGACTATAGGAAAGTCTGACAGAGAGTGAAGATATGCCCCCTATTTATCCGTCCTAAGGTGACTGCAGATTTCCCTCTAGCATCCAAGGACCAAGCTCCCTCCCCCTTCCCTGAGGTCCCCACTCTGCTCCCAGCCTCCCTTTCCCTGTCCCAGGGGCAGCCAGGAAGTTACGTGGGGCAGGGCACGCAGCTGTTGCCATATTCATAGAAGCCAGGCAGGCAGGTCCCACAGTCGGTATCTCTGGCAGAACCTGCAGTCCAGGAGATGGCTTGTGGGTCCCGAAGAGAGAGAGGGAGTTAGGGAGGGTGGGGGTAGGTAGCCCAGAATGGGGATACTCACAGGGCACCCGTGTGTGGCGGTGCAGGGCCCTGCAGTCTGAGCATGGGTGGCAGCGGAAGGGCGAGCCGATCTTGCAGGACTTGACCAAGCACTCTGGGAACCAGCCTGGCTCACAGCCACAGTGGGTGTCCGCCACCGTTGAGCAGTTCGTCAGGGCCACTTGGGAGACTGACCAGAGTGTTCAGGGAGATGGGGAGAATGGAGGCCATCAGGGCCAGAGGCCCCCATGGGGACTGGGGGCAGATCCCCTGGAAAATGGAGATGGGGACAGACCAGACAGAGGGCCACCCCCCAAAGGGAGAGAAGCATGGAGATCGCCACAGATCAAAGGCTGAGACATATACAGGGATAGGAGGGTCATCAGGAAGAGAGGGGGCAAAGGCATCTTAGGGCAGGATGGGGGGGAGGGCCTGGCACACATGGGCACAGGGCTGTCACACCCAGAGGTTAAGCCCAAGCAGCCCCCGCCTTCAGAAATACCCTGGCCATGGCCTGTCCTCAAGAGCCCCCCACTGAGAGCTAGGCCCCTCACCCTCCTCATCACAGGCCTGGCAGCGAGTACAGCGGGTCTCATGATGGTTCTCCCTGGCCAGGAAGGTGCCCCGGGGGCACGGAAGGCAGGTGGCGGTTCCGCAAGGCTTTGGGCAGGGGGCCTTCAGGTAGTGCCCTATGGAAACCAGACCCAGGTCAGACAGTCAAAGGGGGTCCCACTTTCCCCTCTCCTCCTTCCTATCTCTGGCTCCCTATTTCCCCCACCCCAGCTTCCCCTGTCTCCTGACCCCGCCTGACCCCATCTCCTCTGTCTGCCCTCACTTCCCCCCACAACCCTCCCACCCCTTCGGCAGCTCACCTGCTGGACAGCCCTTGCAACAGAACAGACTGTTTCTCTTCTGGAAATTGTAGGCACAGTCACACTTAGGACGGGGAGTGCTGTGCTGGCCCTGGGCGCCCGGCAGCACAAGGAGCAGGACCTGGAGGACGGGCGCTGCTGGCTCCAGCAGGGCTCACCGCGCAGGGCCCCTCCCTGCCCCATCTGCCCCACTTCGGCGGGGGGGAGGGGGGCGCCCGCTTGCTCTCAGAGCAGCCCACTTCTCCGGTTCTTGAGTAGAGGAGGTGCCCATGGACGTGGGGTAAGCCGAGCTTCCCTCCCACCGTGCACGGAGCAGGCTTGGGAGAAGGAGAGCAGAGGTCTCCGGCCAGCTCCTCTCACACGTTTCCCCTCCGCCAGGGCACCGGCGCAGGCTCAGGCAGCCCCATCCCCACTCGTGCTTTCTGGAAGGTGGGGGACCCAGAGCTTTCCCTGCCTGGGGCCCTAGACCCCTCTGGCCCCTGGGCGGGGGTTTCCTCTCAGCGGAAGGGCCCCGCCCGGCTGAGCCTCTAACTAGCTGAGTCTCTAAGTCGAAAGGGGGGGTGGGGCTGCCACGCTTCCCAAGGAAGTTGGGCCCCTTCATTCACAGCGCGGAGACCGGGGCCCGAGGTCAGGCTCCAGGCCGTCCACACCCGTCTGCCGCGCTCCCAGTCTGCCGCGCTCCCACTCACCGCAGCCGCCGCTGCCATGTAGCCCCCCAGCCGCAACTCCATGGCTCTTGTGGCCTTGCTGGGCCCTCCGACGGCAGGCGACAGGCGTGCGCCAGCCGGGGGCTTCCCCGCTCTGCCCGCTCTGCCCGCCTGCTCTGCCCCAAGCCGCCCAGAGGAGCCCGCCTCAGGGGAGGGGGTCAGGGCGGGGCCCCCAGCCCACGCAGCCTGCCCCTGTGCACCTGAGCTCACCTGAGGCAGCCCGGGGGCAGCAAGGTGTACCCAGGACACGGCTGCATCCAGGTCCCCACGCCTGGGTCCTAGCCTCAACCCTGAGACTACCACTTCCAGGTGAAGTGACTTCCCTCCTTCGGGCCTCAGCCCTTCCTCAGCCATGAGGGGTTGGGCCAGAACTACGCAGGAGGGAGACCCAGCCTCCCCAGATACTGCCTGGGTGTGGGTACGGGGCCCCTCCCCTAGAGGGGGGGTCTAGGGGGCATTCTCCCTAGAGCCTGAGACACATCGCCTACCCTGGCATAAGCTTACAGGGACCGCCCAGGGCAGGGCCCTCTGAGGCACCTCGTGGGAGGGAGCACTTCATGGGGGGTCTAGGGTGGACCTTGGGGCTGAGGCAGGGGGTGAGGTTGATCTTGGGGTGCTGGTCTGGTCACCTCTGCCCTGTTCACTCACTAAGGCTCTTTTGCAGTCTCCTCCACTGGTGCCCTACCACAGATGGAGGGGAACAGGAGGGGGACAGGAGGGGGACAGGAGCGGGATGGGGGACAGGAGCAGGACAGGAGTGGGACAGGAGCGGGACGGGGGACAGGAGCGGGACGGGGGACAGGAGCGGGACAGGAGGGGGACAGGAGCGGGACAGGAGGGGGACAGGAGGGGGACAGGAGGGGGACAGGAGAGAGACATGCCTGCCCCAGAGCTCAAGTGCTCCTGAGTCAGGAAAGGGGTGGGTTCCAAAAGCAAAGGACTCCTTCCAGTAGTATATACAAGTCTTTATAAAAGAATCAAAAGCTCAATAAATATGCCACTTGACACAGAGCCGAACCCAAGCCTGGGGTGGCCAGTGGGACTGGGAGTGAGGAAGCCCAGGCCGGGGGAACAAACATCCCAGCTGGGGCCAGATGAAGGGGGAGGTGGGAAGGGCCACCCTGGAGCCCAGCCCAGAAGACTAGAGCTGGTGACTTCAGGGAGCAGCGAGCAAGGGACCCTGTGGGGTGGACAGGTTAGTGAAGGTGGCCTTGTAGGGGGTCCTGAGGAAGGACTGCAGCCTGGGCCTGGAGCTGAACACTCCTCCACTTCCATCCAGTCTGGCAAAGTGCAAATCAGGGGTCCTGCCCCCACACTCTGGCTCCCGCGTGCGCAGGCAGCAGCTAGAGTGGGGACCGGGAGGCCCCAGGAGGCGTGCTGTCTGCTGTCTCGTGGTCAGTGGCACCCTGGAGGGCCTCCCTCTGCTCAGACCTCCCTGCAGGAGAGGCGAAGGGAGAGACAGTCCTTCCTTGGCTGATGCCACTCGGAGGGGCTCTGGCCACCCTCTCTGCCCCACTGGAATCCTTAGGCCCCTTCCCCAGTGCCCACTGTAGATACTGTCATGCAGGCTCTGGAGCAGGCCCCCATCCCCATCCCCTAATGCCACATGCTCCCAGCCACGAGAGTGCCCCCACCCATTCCTGAGGCTCAGTGCCCCCAATGCCAGCACCCCGGGCCATCGGCCCGCCACCCCAGGCCACTCACGAGGCAGTGAGCGTAGAGTTAAGCAGCAGGGTGGTCCTGATCCGGTACAGCTGGGCTAGCGTCAGCTTCCGGTGCTGGGCAGAGATCCCTGGGGGGGGCTCGGGCTGGACCCTGGGCGAGGCCCCCAAGGGCAGTTCTTTGCTCCTCCTGGCGGGCCTTTCAGGCTCCCCAGCCGGGCAGCTGGTTCTGCCCTCCGGCTGCAATGGCTCGGGGCCGCGGCCAGGGCTGGGTGTCCCCCGGCGAACCCAGCTGGGCCCAGCTTCCTGAGGGGAACCCTGAGTCCTCGTGCCGGGGACCGTAACAGCCAAGCAGAGTTCTGACAGACTGCGGCTGGGGGCTGGGGGCGCTCCGCAGGCGGTGGCCCCTGACAGCAGCTGGAGGAGGCTGGCCTCAGATCTGGACTTGAGCAGGTGGGGCAGGCGGGGCAGCAGTTGAACGGGGGTGCGGCGGCGGAGGCGGGGAGAGGGTGGGGGTGAAGGGGCTTGTGGCAAATCTGGGGGCCGGGGCACTGGCTCCGCCATAGGGGCTGGGGCCACGAAGTCCTGCAGGGAGGTGGGGGAGAGGGTGCCGTAGGCCGAGTCCATGGAGCAGGAGCGGCCGTCTGGCGGGCCCAGGGGCAGCAGCTCACTGGTGGGCGTGATGGAGGATGCAGTGGTGCTGACCGAGGTCTCGTCCGACTGGGAGCCGAAGGGGCCACCCTCGAACTCAGGAGAGGACAGCAGCTCCCCAGGCTCCACCACAACCAGGGCCAGGGTCTCGGTCGAGCCATCTGAGGCACTGGGGAGCCGGGAGGAGACCGTCAGCCCAGCCACAGAGGTGGCCTGGGGCAGCCCATGCCCAGCACGCAGAGGTCTATAGCCTCTGCCCTGCCCGAGCCTGAGGCTCAGCGCAGCATGTGGCCCACCAGCCGGACCTCCCACTCCTGGGCCCGTGACACAGATAACCACGGTTGGCGGCCGCCCCCCCCCCCACTGTACCCCCTCCAGCTGGCTAGCTTAAGGATCCTCAGCTCAGCTCTCCCCCCAGCCAGCACTAGAGGGTCAGAGCTGGCACTCAAGCTAAAAACCTTTTGCCATCCCCGCCTGGACTCTGGTGGGAGACAGAGCCGTCTCCCCGACACGGGGTCACTGCATGACACCATTCAGAGGAAGGGGTGGGGGCTGGGCCCTGGCCAGTGTCAGGGGCCTTGGGGTCAGGAACGCCGGGCCAGAGCAGCTGCCCTGCTCTGGCCGGCCGGGTGGGCCCCGGCGAGCATACCAGTGCTGGGAGCTGAGACTGGTGCTGCTCTTGCGCAGGATGGTGGGGGAGCTGGTGGCAGAAGCGCTACTCTCCCCCCCTTCCTCCTCTTCCTCCTCATCGTCTTCCTCCTCCTCCTCCTCCTGCTCATCCTCCTCCTCCTCCAGGCTCTGCAGGTGCTGCTGGCCGCCGGGGTGCTCCTGAGCACGCAGCTGCTGCAGCTGGTTCTGCAGGTGGGGGACAGCGCTGTGGACAGCAGCCCCACCAGGGCACCCCGTCCGCCCGCCCGCCACTCGGCTCTCACCTGGGCATTGTAAATGGCGTCCACCCAGCCACGGCACAAAGCCTGGCCACTGGCCTGGAATGTGTAGGCGCCCACAGCACTGTGGAACTCGTTCAGGTAGATGAGGAGAAAGGAGCCTGGTGAGGAGGGGCTCGCATCAGTGTCAGCTAGGACCAGAGCCCCTGCCCGCCATAGCCCCTGGCCAGGAGCAGGGCCAGGCTCCTCACCAGGGTCTCGCAGCTCTCGGCACACAATCTTGTCCACCAGCAGTGGTGGCCGGATGACCTTGGTCCTCTCAGCCTTCTTCACTGCCTTGGTCACCAAGAGTAGGTCCGTAAAGAGGAAGCAGTACACGTCCATCTGGGGGGGGGCAGCAAGGGGAGCAGGCGAGGCCAGGGATCAGGGCCAGGGTCCTGGGACCTCAGCCTGTCTGCTGTGACACCCTCTCTTGGGCTGGGCCCTGCACAAGCTCTTCCTAACTGCACTTTGGTGACGTCGCTGGGGGCACTCAGATTTTGTCAAACACCTTCCCTGCTCCCTGCCTCCCATGAACCTGAGAATAAAATTAAAATGAACAAAGGGGTGCCTGGGTGGCTCAGTTCGTTAAGCGTCTGCCTTCGGCTCAGGTCATGATCCCGGGGTCCTGGGATCCAGCCCCGCATCGGGCTCCCTGCTCAGCGCGGAGCCTGCTTCTCCCTCTCCCCCTTCACCTGCTCGTGCTCTCTCTCTTTCAAATAAATAAAATCTTTAAAAAAAATTAAAATGAAGAGCAAGATGGTATTCCTTCATGGAGCTATGTACTTGTAATTTATTTCAATAAGAAGTTTACATTAAAGAGAAAAAGGGAATTTATGATTTGTGATTTTAAAACCACAATTTGGGGGCACCTGGGTGGCTCAGTCAGTTAAGCATCCAACTCTTGGTTCTAGCTCGGGTCATGATCCCAGGGTCCTGAGATCGAGCCCTGCATTGGGCTCTACGCTCAGTGTAAAGTCTGCTTCTCTCCCTCTCCCCCTCTCCCCGCTCGCATGCACTCTTTCTCTCTCTCTCAAATAAATAATCTTTAAAACCACAATTTGCAGGCTCTGGGTTATGCACCTGGGATTAATAGCTCGGAAGCAAGGCTCTGGGCTGTTCCTGACCTGCTCTTGGAATGCACCCCCTCCCTCCCATCAGGAACCCTTATGGCACCAGCAAGTGGGCAAGCCCAGCCCCCTACCTGCTCTGCCCTTGCTGCCATATCTTTAGAGTAAACTGCAGGCAGATCTCAGCCCTCACATGACCACAAAGTCATTCCTTCTTGAACTGCCACCCAACTGACAGGGCAGCTGAGAACCACTAACTAGGGCCCAGAAGGTTCCCAGGAAAGGGTGGTCCAAATCCACAGGGCAGGAGCGGGTGGCGAAGGGGCCCTGGGGGTGGGTGGCCCCTAGAGTCACCTTGCTGTCCTTCCCCTCCTTCATCCTCAGGCTCCCCTCCAGCAGCAGCTGTCGTGTTTCCTCAGGGGAGGCGCCAGGGATGGGTGCTGTCAGGTCTAGATGCAGAAACTCCTTCAGGAGCTGCCGATGGAGGGGGGGGACGCCGCGGGGAGGATAGAGAGGTCAGGGTCTGACTCCCGTTCTCGGCTAGGCATCCTCAAGCGAGGTTCCCAGCACGGCCCCGGTCTGCCAGTTTGGCCCTTCCTCCGCTCCAGCAGGGCCAGGGGCCCCCCACCTTGTCCACCTCGTCGTTGCTGCCCTCCACCACCTCGTAGGCGTCGATGCGGCTCCCCACGGCCGCCAGTCGCTGCCGCTCCTGCCGC